TGCGGGTCGCTTGCCAACGGGAGACCTCTGACCTCGGCCACTCGCGGGGCCCCAAAGGAGAGACACGGAAGTGGGAGCGCGAGCCGTCGAGGTTGTCCGCAGCTACATGGGCAGACAACATCGCAGCATCAACGGAAATGGGGTCCCTGCACATGTGCCAAGTCTTCCTCTCAACAGGCTGCTCGCGGATGCCGGGCAACGCTCGCGATAGGGGTGCAGGCGAGAGCTTGCGATCCCAGACTACTGACGCACCTCTCCCTGGCAAGGACATGCTCGCGTCGGAAACCGGATCGAAAAATCCCGCCCCTCTGGGCGGCTAACCGCGAGGTGAGAGCGCCAGACCTCCTCGCGCCCAGTGAGGTTCCAGCAAAAGAGCGGAAGGGGCACGAACGCAATGGCAACGAGGCCGCTCGCCCAGGCCCCGCAAGCCCCAGCTGGCAACGGCCAGTCCCCCGCAGAACGTCAACTCTACCTGGGGCCCCACGGCGGAGAACTCGCAACTTCGGTCTTCTCTGCAACAACTCTTTCAGGCGGGCCTGCCCCCGCGCGCGCGAGGGGGCCCGCCTGCGCGGCAAATCGCGCGGCCGAGGCAACGCGCCCGCTTCTAGAAACCTGCAGGGCCAGGCCGAAACGCGGAACCATGTGACAAGCCAAGTCGCAGCCCCAAGAGGAGGTCCAGGGCTGCTAGGACGGTCACCGATCCACTGGGAAGCCGCATCCACTGGGAACTCGCACCGCCCGAGACGGGAGCGCGCGCGTTCGGCTGACCGCGGCGAACGTTTCTCGCATGTCTTGAAGAGAAGGCCAAGGGATAGCAGGTCATTGTGGGGCGCCACTGCAAACGACCTAGGGCGAAGTCGCAGCTGACATCGGGCTGTCTCAGTCGGGGGGGCCGCGGCAGACCTCCCTCGGGTCTGCCGCACAGAACGCCAGGCACGCCCTCCCTACTCTCAGCGTCGTTGGGCAGCGTCGGTTCCCTACAGTTAGTTGTGCACGGCTCAGATAAACTGCCGCTGGTCTATGCGATCGTCCGCCTGCTGAAAGAGTTCGGCGCGCCCTGTGTCCGCGCGAACATCCTGCCTCTCGCTGAGACGACTGAACCTATGAGCGCGCGAAGCACCGCCAGCAAACGCATCGTCCGCCCACCTGGCCCACGACCGCGCAGCTCTGTCCGCGCGGGCGGCAAACTTGCCATCCACCGCGTCCACATAGGCTTGCAATGTGTTATGGAAGCGGGTGCCCGAAAACACGATCCGCAATTCCTGGCGCGAAATCCCGCTTCTCTGGAAAGACGCTTGTCAAACCAAGATCCAATCCGAATGCGCCTGAAGACCTAGGTCGTAGATGACCTCGGCGATCATGTCCACATCAGCAACCTCCGACTTCAGCATACACTCAAGGCGGCACCTGACAGAACGCACACGCCTCAACCATCTTGCAAACACACGCCGCGCTTCGACTTCATCGGGCGCGGGAGTGGGCTTCGGACCCAGGAACCTCCCATGATACTTCTTCTCGCCACCGCGACCGTGATGCTGCCTCCTGGTCTCGACCTCCATGACATCGCATCTGTCCATCATATCGGACTCGAGCCCCACGATGACGTGATCCCAGCAAGCCACCTGGTCGCTATCGCACGCCACCTTGTCCAGCGCCCCCCGCGCCTGCTTCCGCTCCGCAGTCGGGGGGACCTGCTGCAGCAAGGCGCGTAGATCGCCGGGAGCTTGTTGTTCAGTTCGACAGCCGCGCGCTGGCGCGTTATCGCGGGCTCGGCACGAAAAGGCGGCCGCGCTGGGAGATGCGGGGGCGCTGGGGCGCGACTTTCTTCTGCGCCGGGGGCCAGGATGACGTGAGCCCCACAGAAACTCACGTAAACGATACAGGTGTATATATACGAGAGAGCGTGATCCACCGCCGCTTTACTGTGGAAAATTGCCAACCTTTTCCTCCGGAACCCGGGTGTGTCCCCCCCCCCCCCTCCGAAATCCCCCCCCCCCTCCCCCTCCCCCCTCCCGCAAAACCCCCTCCCTCCCTAACCCCTCCCCCCCCCCCCCCCCCCCCCTCCCCTCGAAAATCGGGGGGGGTCACTACCGTTTCGAACCCCTCCCCCCCCCCCATCCGATCCGGAAAAACGGGGGGGGGTCACTACCGTTCGAAGCCCCCCACCCCCCTCCCCCCCCCCCCCCCCCCCCCCCCCCCCCCTACTCACACGCCAGCAAACGACTCCCGGTCCCCACCACCGTCCGCATCACATCCCCCACTGGTGTTCCCAACACCACTGTCCTCACCACCGCTGTCCCCACTGGTTCCACCACCGCCCCTACTGTCCCCACCAGTGGCCCCACCACTGTCGCACTGTCCCCGCTGTCCCCAGAACTGTTCCCACCACGGTTCCACTCTCCCCACTGTCTCCACGGCCCCAACCACTGCCCGACTATCCCCACTGTCCCCACTGTCCCACTGACTCCTCCGCTGTCCCACTGAGCTGTCCCACTGTTCC